TAGGTAAAGCTTTACTGTTTTAACTTACCTTATATTTTGTTATTTGTTGTGATTTTGGAGCCGTTGTGCTCGCACTGATTATTTATCAACTATCACGCGTTTATATTTATATATCGTGAAAGCCTCAAAGCCGCGAACGCTATCAAAATACTCGATTTTTATATACTCAAACTGAAACGGAGCCATTGTGCTCGCACTGATTATATTGTGTGCAAAGCTTCAAAACTACAGCATATTTTGTAAACAACATGAAATATAAATATCAAACACAATTTAAATTATAAATAGTAATACAATTGAAAGCCTCAAAGCCGCGAACGCTATCAAAATACTCGATTTTTATATACTCAAACTGAAACGGAGCCATTGTGCTCGCACTGATTATATTGTGTGCAAAGCTTCAAAACTACAGCACATTTTGTAAACAACATGAAATATAAATATCAAACACAATTTAAATTATAAATAGTAATACAATTGAAATCGAGATTGAAATATACAACGAAATAGCAACCATTGTGAAGTACGCATAAGATTCAACATGACATTCGATATAGTGTAAATTAACTCATTTCAATCACTCAAACGTCAAAATGATAAATAATAATCATTTTCAATCTATTGTAGTAATTCACTGTTTCCACGCGTTTTTTATACCCATTAAAAAGTTACAATAAAAGCTATATCTATAGGAAATAACGTTATTTAGTTATTAATTTGTAAAGTAAATCTAACAGTCAATCGCTTTTGATAAAACCTTGACCCGCCTTGACACTGTTAAAGGGGCCCTACAGTCATTTTTTAGTCAAGTAAGTATTGTTTACATTTTTGTTATTGTCGCTACTTGACATGCGCATCACGGCATGCATGCGTCTTCCGGTGTGCGGAAGTACTCATATTCATGGATACTGCATGTAAGATACAGCCAAACGAATCTCCGTGGAGTCCCCTACTTAAGGTGGCTTTTCGACTAAAAAATGACTGTAGGATCCCTACTCCCTTTAATGTTATTATTGCCGTCGCTTGCAACTAACTATTAACGGTCGCTTAAAAAAACATTGTCTATATTCGCGTGTTTCTGCTGGGGTCTCCGTAGGCAAATTCGCGTGAGAGTCTTAAGTTTTCTTATTTTGACATAATAGCTATTTTGCAATAAGTATATTGATATTAAATTTATTGAATCGATATTTTAAGTTTCACGCCAGTTGTACCAAAGGTTATAAGCGCTATAGCGCATCATAAGCATAGATATCTTATATAAGATATCTATGATCATAAGTTTCAGATGGCATGCAACATGTAGGCAGTGCGTACCTATTTTTTTGAGTTATGGAACTACTTACATAACTCTGGAAGTTTCGCATCAAATTAAAAACCTTTTTCAGCGTATTGAGACATATTCTTCTTCTTTTAGAATGTTGAAAGAATTTGAATGTACATCTTAGTTTAAGCCTACTAGTCTCCATCCAAGGAAGTCGGTATTTTCGTTCGCCGAACAACTAATGATTAGGTACAAAATTCAAACTAAAAATTCTCAAAAGTGCAACCTACCTGGTGTCTAAAACACTTTTAGGGTTAAAATAGAATACTTAAAGTTATGTTATTCGCAATAAAACTTGTCGGCAAAAGGAATATGAAGGAGTGCAAAATTCATAAATTATGGCTATAAATAGCTCTATTGTTTACCTTTGTGATAACCGGAAACACGTTCAGCGTTACTCGCGGAGTTTTTATAAATTTATATCAGCAATTAATATAAATATAAAATAGTGTTTATAAGTTCTTATATTTGAATACAAACACCGCCTTGTAATTTTTTTAAGCTTTCGGAAAGCCTTTACAATTGTCGTTTTAAACTTGATTAAAATTACTAAATAGTTGCACGCCAACATAATGTATTTATTATCGTTGTTTAATACGTACTGATGAGTGTGCCATAAATAGAATACACGCTATATTACGAAAGCAACAATATACTAAACTTTATAGTTAACTTGCTACCTGGATAGTTATTTTTCGCGTGTTAATTCTTCAACAAACAATTTAATCTCGCAAATTTAATCTTTAATCAAACGTTCGGGAGTTGTCGAAAAAATTTCGAGGTTAGTAAATTGTGTTACTGTAGTCTGTATGCCAAGGGGATTACGTTTGTAGCCAATTTTTAAGTTTCTCTAATTTATAAAATAATAATAAAAAACCACGAAAATAATAGCAGAAAATAATAGCGGAAAATAATAGCAGACGCAATGTATACAAGCTGTTTTTGTTCTTCAATGCGCCATTGTTAAAACTAATTATTGGAGTATTTTTTAAACTTACTTCTTAAATAATATCAATGACAGTGTTCCTTTGTAATTTCCACACCTGTTTTGTTTAACAGAAAATTAACGCAAAGAAGTACCGTTTTTAGATATTTTTAGAAGCTAACTAGTTTAGTTTGATTATGGAGAAAAGTTGTCCATTTGTTGGCGTTGGTGGAATTTCTTGTGGTGAAAGTCGTGGATTACAGGAAATTAGTTGCTTATTTGATTGTAAGGAAGATATGAGTGTTCAACTATCAAACTGTCATCTTTCTAAATCGAACTTGAGAGAGAACGAGTTAATTGCTATTCGCGCGGGAATGTTCAATCTTACCGAAGATGATGTTTATTTGTCTGTCCCACCGTCATAATTTGGGACGATTTTGGAGGCCGCTAAGACCGTGCCAGTATTCCCTCCATTCGGGTCCTGTTCGTAAGTGTACAGGAAGAGATGTTTTCAATGTGTCATTATCAAAAACAGTTTTTACTCTTTATGGGAAATTAATTCAAATATAGGATCTCGTAAGTATTACGCTACTTTTACTTCTAATTCAAGTGTTGTAATTAGTACTTTAATGACGCAGGGGAAACTGGAGATAACTATCGTAAGTTTACGAGTTCTTCATGAAGGAGAATGCGTAAGTTTACGTGTTCTTCATTTTGAGACGAAAGCACAAAGAAAAATGCTTGTGGACAAGTGGACAACTTGTGGAAAATGCTTGCTGAGATCGACGTATGCCATCCTATATACCACGACGCGTATGATTTATGTGACATGTACAAACAGAAGAGCCTATCTGTTTTTAAAATAACGATGCTGAAAGAAATTTGTGCGCATCTTGAACTTCAGTTCAAATCAAAGGATAAAAACAAACTCTCATTGATAAAATATCATCCATGATTGGGCAATGCACATGTTTCCAAATAAATAACTAAATTGTGCAGGTGCGGACAAATACTCCCAGACTAACTTGGACATGTCGAGAGATGTCATTGTTCTTGGTCCGCGAGCGTATGGAGCCTGGAACAGTATCGTTAACCCAAATCAAGTACCAAAAACGCTGCATGCAAACTACGATGTTATGTATTTTTATTGCTATAATTTATACTACTATTATGAGACAAATCAAATTTTGCCGAAAAATACCAATTGAAGTTGAAAGTTATTCACAGAATGGCGATTAGCTGCAAACTACTGTAAAATTATTATTATTGCTGTATAGATTAAAGTAAAGATAAAGGACAGATCTCAGTATACGTCGCAGCCGTAGTCAATGTCAATGCAACTAAGATCGTTTTATACGATGAATTGAATCGTTTGCATGAAAGGACAAAAATTCTGCCAAATGGGCGATGCGGAAAACTTTTAACAGAATATAATAACAAGTTCATGGATTTATTAATTCGATGCGACGTTACGGCAACACACATTTTCGACATTGGCATTGTACCTGTCCGGTCATGAGGGATACAACGTCCTAGACGAATTTATTTCTTCTGACCGTTTTAGACCTCAAAGATCCGTCGCATTTCATCGATCGAATTAAACTTTTCTGAGTTAAATACAATGATTGTGCAATATATTAGTCGCTATAAAAACTCCGCGAGCAACCTTGAACGTGTTTCCGGTTATCACAAAGGTAAACAATAGAGCTATTTATAGCCATAATTTATGAATTTTGCACTCCTTCATATTTCTTTTGCCGACAAGTTTTATTGCGAATAACATAACTTTAAGTATTCTACTTTAACCCTAAAAGTGTTTTAGACACCAGGTAGGTTGCACTTTTGAGAATTTTTAGTTTGAATTTTGTACCTAATCATTAGTTGTTCGGCGAACGAAAATACCGACTTCCTTGGATGGAGACTAGTAGGCTTAAAATAAGATGTACATTCAAATTCTTTCAACATTCTAAAAGAAGAAGAATATGTCTCAATACGCTGAAAAATGTTTTTAATTTGACGCGAAACTTTCCGAGTTATGATGCACAATTTAACACACATTTGACCGCCGTTTTCGGGGTCAAATTTCAGTGTCGCTGACGTCCAGACAAAAATTCGTCATAACTCAAAAAATAAGAAAAATTTAGAAATTCTAATATTAGTTTAATACCTTTTAGGACAAAGGTAGTTCATGGTAAAAATATAAAGGAAATCTAATTTTCAACCTGAAACGCTCTGCATGGTTCTTAGTGAGACAGCCACTT